GATTTTTTTTTTTTTTTGATTTCGTCGTAATGGAAAACTTTATAAAAAAAAAAAAAAAAACAATTTAATAGTTTTATTTATTTATTTATTTATTTTTATAGAAATACAAATTGTAAAGTTGTAAGGTTTTGTATCGGTTATTTATTTATTTATTTATTTACAAAAATAATGTAAAAATTTTTTTTAAATTTTTCATCAGTCTTCCCACCATTTTTCTTTAGAAAAAGAAAAAAAATTTTTTTTTTTTTTTCATCAGTATTATTTTTAATTTATTTGTATTATTATTATTATTATTATTTTATTTTATTTTATTTTATTTTATTAATTTTTAATAGGGGGATAAAATTATTATCATGACAAAAAGACCAGACACCCTGAATTTATGTAATCAATAAATGTTGTTTATTTAAATGGCTCAATTAAAAAAAATTATTTAGAAAATTAATTTAATCGTGAAAAACAAATCAATAATAATAATAATTATAATTAATACTATTATTATTATTTAAATCAACAACGCCTTGAAAAATTTTCGATTTTGTTTTTATTTATTTATTTTCAAACATTTATAAATTTTTTTTTTTTTGTGACTCGATGAATAATATCGTTGTTATTATTATTATTATTATTATTTATTGTAAATTTTGAATTGTTTGCCTTTTATTTAACTTGCCGAAAAATTAAGAATTTTTTTTTTGATAAATTCTTGCGTATTTAATCTGAATAGTGATTTAAATAGAATAATAATAATAATAATAATACTTAGTATTTTTTTGCTTTAAAAAAAAAAAAAATTTAATTGTAAGATATTTATTTTATTTTATTTTATTTATTTATTTGTTTTTTTTTAATGTTTTTATTGTTTTGAGAGTTGAATGTGCAGTACTAATAATTTATATATACACGTGTGCGTATTTATAAAAACACGCACGTACAAACACACACACACACACGCAGACAAACACACAATAGTTGAAAAATATAATTTGTTGATTTAAATAAATAAAAAAAATTAGTTTTTTAATTAATTAATTAATTATTCAGCTCGTATTAATTATTCTGTTATATATAATAATAAATTATTATTATTATTATTAGATTGAATTATTGTTAATTGTAAATAAAAAAAAAAATTTTAAAGTAAAATTAATTAATAATTTATTTATTTATTTTATTATTATAATATATAAATATATTAATTAATATTTATCCTACTTATTAATTAATTAATCTATTTATTTTATTTGTTATGTATATAGATTTAAACCTTGTTTCGTTTTTCTTTTTTAAATAATAATAATAATAATTAATAATTTGAAAAAAAAATAAAATAAATAATTTACATTTATTTTATTTATTTATTTTATTTATTTTTATGCGGAGCGATAGTATTAAAATAATTTAATTTACAATAATCATCATTATTATTCATATTGAAAATATTATCAAAAAATCGAAATTGTTATTAACAATTTAAGTAAAAATTTAATTTAATTTTTGATTTATTTATAAACGATGATGATGATGATAATAATTTCATTTAGTTACTTTAGTTAATAATAATAATAATGAAATTCTTTAGGATAATAAATAAATTTAAGTTAAAAGGAAAAAATTTGATTTTATTAAGGTAACCAATGGCGACTGTTTTAAGTGTT